CTTAGCTAGAAAATTGGAGTGTGAGAAATGTTTGTTTTCTTCCTGTAATCAGATTCTTTAATTTAATGCTAAAATTGTGCTATGATCCTCTTTCTTGACCAGATCCGGATTATCCTAAGTAATTTTGTGTATGCAAACATCCTTGGCTTGCTTGCTTTCTTTCTTTTTAGGCAGTGGAGTCGCAGTGGTGTTGGAAGGAACTGATGTCAACAAGAGTCATGATAGACTTTTCTCGTTTCTGAATCTCTATGTCTGAGGACAATAGCATTGCCTTTGTCCTCTGCTCCATTTCTGACAACTGTCTGAAGGCCCACCTGGGCCTACTGTTTTGTGTTCATACTGGACTAGGAAGGATGCTCATGGTAGAGGAACATGCTTTTAAAGATGTTAATCTGCCCTTTGGCCCAGCAAGAGTACCTGGTGGGATAGTCGTTATGCAATGGACTGCTATCCTCAAGGTCTGCAGGTCAAAGCCACTAGCTGTGCCAAGGGCAAAAGAGGATTATTTCTACTCCTGTAAATACTTCTACTTACAGGAATAGAAACTCCACTTCTATTTACAGAAATAGAACCCCCACAGACAAGTTCTACCTTGTCATATAGGGTCTCCATGATTCAGAATCACCTTGATGGAGGTGAGATCTTAGTCTATCACACAAATGAAATAGTCTTAATTGGAAGTATATCAAATGGTTATGTAATTATTTACTCAATTCAGAGTAAAGCATTGTTTTAGGTTGTTTGAAAGAGCAATAAGAGAACTATTCTGGTAATCTTGATGTCAGATCAGGCAAATTGTCTTTTTGTGGACAGCGCAAAAAAGCATATGTAAAATCTAGTAATTTTCTTGATTTAATTTTGATAAAAGGTATTTGATCTGGGAATTGTGGAATTATAGTCAATATAGACCATATACAAAGCAGTATGCATGTGGGGCTAAGACCATTGACAGTTATTGGACCATCCCATTTTATCTTTTATTATTTTTTAAAGTTTTACTTCTAGAAACTGTTTATAGTGAAATGGATAAAGGTTTACAGAGCAAATCAACGTTTCATTCAACAATTCATACACATTTTGTTTCACGCTGCTGACTGTAATTGAACCATCTCATTTAAATCCTAGTTCTGCCAGCTAACTTCAAGGTGGGAAGTTCAAACCCACCAGCTACATTTTTTGTTGGAGAAGCACTTACCACCTGCTCTTTCAGTGATTTACAGTGTGGGAAACCCTATATAGGGTGGTTTGATGAGAGGTAGTGGTTTTTACCATGTAATAGTTGCATGTCTTAGTATTAATTACCTCAGCTGTTAAAAGAATATTGCCATCGTATCTAAACTAGAGCATAGTTGAAAACTTTAAACAAATTATTTCATGTTAAGATGCATGGCATAGTATTCGGAGGATCAAAGCCCTAAGAAAATGTTAGTAATTGATTTTTATGTTTACTTTCATTTAAACTATCAAAGGCTAAATGATAAAGCTAGAATTGAAAGTCTAATATAAAAAAGCTGACAGTGGTGAGGTTAGACAGTTTATAGGGCTACTTTAGGATAAGCTATGAATTAATTTTAGATAGGTTGGAGATAAGGCACAAAAAATGTCTGAATGGGAGGAAAATATGTAACAGAGAATTCTGAGTTCTGATAAGCAACTTTTGAGAAATCTTCAATATATATTAACCATATAACTATCATGGATTAACGATATTACTTACCTGACTTCTCACTGGGAAAAACAAAATGACCTTCATCCTCACCAACGGTGTACTAGAAAATTATACAGCTGATTTTTAGTTGCACCTTAATAGTGGGGCCTTTTGTGAGGTGTATGGTTGCTTATTTTGTTATCATTTACCTTTGCATGTTTTGGAGTTACAAATATGATATATGATATATGACCTGATATATGACCCATCACTAAGAAAGATGCTAAACTACCAGGATCACATTAGATATTTAATAAATGTCAGACCACAGATGAATTAATCTTTTAGGTTTGCATTGGCATGTTGGAGGATAGGGAAGGGGAAAAAACTGAATTAGAATGAAAGAATGACTTCTGTTTTTCTGGTTGGCATCTTCAGGGCCAGCTCAGCAATGCAATACATATCCACAGAGGAAAGGTACCATGACTTGGAAGGATTTTGCAAGACAAACTGGCAGTGGCCTTTATGTATGAGTGGTAATAGTGTTGGGAGGAATTGAAGTAAGCCGTGGACTGATGGACTTGCATCTCATAAGAGTGAGGGGGGATAAGGCACTCAAACCACTTGATGATTACAACAGTATTCATGACTCGCAGTGCTGACATTCTGTAAATTGATGCAGTCCTCAAGTGTGGAAAGACTGAGTCATCCAAAAGAGGAGACTTTTGATAATAAAAAAAATTATGCATTCAGCAGATTGTCAGTAAAGGTGGTTTTGATTATGAGAATCACTCAGTAGAGACTGTCAGATGGCAAATTATTCTAACCACAGAATTTTTTGAACATGAATAAAGCGAAGTTAGATTGGATTGATTATCCTGGGTCATTTTATTTCTTCATCCTTTCATTTCTCCTTGTCTTCTTTTGAAAGGGGGAATGAAAAAAATGTTGACTCAGCATCTAAGTCTTACACTTGAGAGAAGAAAATGGAGCTAGTCTTTTGGAACTCAGAGATTGTCGTACTTTTTCACTGCATACACGTTAGAGTTCAAAGATCGTGACTTGTAGTTCCATAAGGTGCTTCTTTATTTTTTTAAAATCGAATTCTCCCTCTTGCCTGAAATCTGAATGTTGGCATTCTCATTGTTAGGTGCCACCTAGCAGCTCTGAATGATAGAGGCCTTATTTATGTACAATAGAAGAGAACCGGCTGGTGCCACATCCTCCCCAATTGTCGTTGTGCTTGTTGGAGCCTCTGGGCCAGTCCTTGTCAGTGCGAGTCCTCCTGCTTTTTTCTGCCTCTGTTTCACCAAGCACAATGCCCTGCGTTACAGGCCGTCTTAAGAGCTCCTGTTGACAATCATTGTGTCTCGCTTTCATAGCAATCACAACCATGTTTCATGAAATTCTTTAACCAGTCAAGGAGTAAGAAATGTAATCATTGCAGCTATCTTGGGAATAATGCAAATTTATAAACCGTACTGGTTTGTCTAAATATCCAATTTCTAAATATCCAATTTGGTCGAGACAACTTTAGATTAAGGCTCCTGATCCCTGTGATATACACATACCACCCCCGCACCATGCCCCCAGGGTGTATAACAGAAACCGTGGAAGAAGGGAGACAGCAGTTGTATAAGATATGAAAATAATAATAATTTATAATTTACCAAGGGATCATGGGAGGGCCGGGGCGGGGGAGGGGGGGGAGGAGCTGATACCAAGGGTTTAATAGAAAGTAAATGTTTAGAAAATAATGATGGCAACATATGTACAAATGTGCTTGATAAAATTGATGTATGGATAGTTATAAGAGTTGTACAGGCCCCCAACAAAATGATCTTTTAATAAAAAAAGCAAGTAGCCATGAGAGCACAGTAACTACATAGTAACAATCACACTGCCATTCTACCCCTTTCTTTAAAGACTTAGCTTTCATGTTTTGTGTTTTGCCTTAAACTGAAAAAGTAACTGTTACTCCCAACCTTCACTCTCAAATAATTGTGCCTCAGATTAAACAAATAATTGAAAAGCAAACAAAAGAAAGTGATATTGTGTGGGTGTAAAGTTAACGTTCTATACAGATTGCCCGTCAGAAATTAGTGCATTGACAGTGTTAGACCCAGATCGGAGTCACATAATGTGTTGTCCCTCTTTAATAAAATTTGAGTAAATTGTTTTAGCTTTATTTTGGAATTAATGCAAGTTTAAATTATTTTTCTTTTTGGTTCCTTTTAAAAACGTCATTAACTCCCCCACCCCTAGCCATGAAGCATGAATTTAATGTAATTCATCTTAAATGCTTTCTCAAAGATGTAATCACAATTGATAACTACATAAATAAATTGGCCTAAGGTTTCACTATTAGCTATCAACTGATGGTGTCTATTTTACTAATAATATTCAACTGAATTTTTAACCAGGTTAAATTCTTGCCTATAATTGATACCATTCCCAGGGTCCAATATATTTTAAATTTTCTAAGGAGTTATTTTGAAGAGTGGTTAGTGGTTGGGCAGTTTGAACCTCCAGCAGCTCCGCGGGAGTGAGACGGGGCTTTCTACTCCCAAACACGCTGACAGCTTCGGAAACCCACTTGGGGTTTCTTTGAATCCGCATTCACTTAGGGCAGTGAGTTTGGTGTTGGGTAGGAGTTATTTAGCCCTCTTTCTAGTCATGTGAAGAGTTGCAGGAAACTCTTAGCAAGGTCACTAAGAGTCGGAATCAACCGGATGGCAGGAAGTGAGTGGAAGAGTCCCCAACTAGCCTGCGGGTGGTTGATGAGAACATTAATAACCCCCCTGTCACCGAGGCCATTCCAACCCATCGCGACCTTATAGGGCCAAGTAGGAAACCCCTGTGAGCGGCTAAGATGATAACTCTTTGGGGGAGTAGAAAGCCTACTCTTCCTCCCTTGTTAATAAAGTGCTGCCTAAATGCCGCAAAGATTCGGTTTTTTTCTCATTTGTCCCTTATTTTAAGTTCCCTTATAAATTAGAAATAACAACAACCACAAAGTTTCACTTAAAAACAACCCATTTAATCCATTATTTAATCTTCCTCCAAGAAGGTAAAACCCAGAGCAAAGACTTGTACTACATAAATACCCACGTGTCGGGCCGATTCCAGCATTGCTCTAGCTGGGACCTTTAGTCACACACTGCATGCATTAGCTTTTTGAAAGTTATGAATTCAAACAATTTCCTTAGAGAATCATACTCTTTCGATCAGATTCCACACATGCCTAGATTCCTTTTTGGCTTCTATAACATCACAAATGCACTGCAGGCTAGGCCCAGTTTTAAGTGATGCATGTATCAATGATTTTTGTTTTTCTCGTCACCTTTTCTAGGTCTACAGCACCAAGACAAGGGCAAAGAAATGCCATGGTATTAGCAGGCCAGCTTGCAACTGAGCCCCAAGGACACTGGGAAAAGAGGCTGCCAGGACTTTCCATTCTGCAAGGAGACAAAATAGACCTGGAAGGAGGAGGGGACATGTTAGCCAGCTGACTTCTGTTTTGAGTGCTTTCCTATGAAAGCTGAGTACATCGCAGGAATTGAAGAAAAGCATTTTTTGATGCGCCCCCCGACCCTCCCACCCCATCTGAGCCTTTACAACTGTGCAACTCTCTCTCTTTTTTCTTGCCTCTGTAAAATTTTTTTTTAGTTCATTTTTTTGTCAGGAAAAAACTCAAAAGAAAATGTTGATTCTTTCAGGAATACAATTTTGTAGCTTTATGTGCATCTATTTTTGTAGAAATGCTGAAAGCTTGAATTAGCATTGATGAGGTATTTTAGAGGGATTTTAAAAATATTTTTAAATTGATTAAGTTCTGTTTAAAGAACTCGCTTTCAGAGAAGCACTGGCAAAATGTTTAAAAATGCTGATTGTCAAGATGTCTGTGATATGCTCCAAATGTGCTTTCTAGTGTTTGATATTTTCTCATTTTTATAAAAGTAGCACCATAGCCAAGCCAATACAGTATTGTTTTTACATTAAATCTCAGTGAATGTTTAATTCAGTGATATGTCACTTCGTTTTGAATGTATAGCTTAAGAAGGAATTTTTTTTTAATGACCTGACTAAAGGGAGGAAATTTTATTCCTTTGATTTCTCCCACAGCGTGTTTGGAAATTTGAGTAAGAAGAAAGTTTTCATAAATTTCCAGTCTGAAGAAAGTTTTCCTGAAGTATAATTCTTTATAGTCCATCCAAGTTTGATAAATGGAACCAGAATTTAGAAGGAATTACTAGAAAACAAATCCCATTTTTTGAGTGTCAATGTGAGTGCCAGTGATTTATTTTTCTTGTTTGTAATTAGTCATCATGGCAATGTTACAAGCTATTGTTTTAAGTGGTTTTTCTTTTTTTCTATCTCCTGGAGGGAATTTGAAGGGGTAGTGTTTGGCCAGGTACTTGACATATCACAAAGCCTTTGTCAATGACTGTTTCTGGTTAATAGCACTCACTATTATCAACTCAAAAAGGTAATATCTTTTCTGTATACTGTTTTAACGTGTTTTTATTGTTGTTGCTGTTACGCCCTGTCAAGTAAGTTGGGACTCTTAGGGATCCCATGCACAAAAGAACATAACAGTCCTGCATCTGTCTCAAAGTCTTTGCTATAGATGAGCCCATTGGTAATAGCCACTGTTCCGATGCAGCGCTTGAGGGATTTCCCTTTTTTTCCCTCCTAACTCTCTACTTTGCCAAATCTAGTTTCCTTTTCCAGGGACTAGTTCTTCCTGATACTGTGTCCAAAACATGTGAGACAGAATCTGTCCATCGTTGCTTCTAAATCACATTGTGGCTGCGCTTCTCCCTGGACAACTTATTCATTCTTGAAGCAGTCCATAGTATATTCAATATTGTTTGCTAACACCGCAATTTAAATGCATGGATTCCTCTTTGGTCTTCCTTATTCAGTGTCCATCTTTCTCAGGCTTATGAATCAATTCAAAATATTGTGGCTTTGGCAAGGCAATCAATGTTCAAAGTGACATCTTTTGGGGGGGCAGTATATTTGCCTAATGTGTTACTTTATTTGATTTCTTGACTACTGTTTCCATGGACATTGATCATTGGTTTACGTAAAATGGAATGTCTGACAGCTTCAATAATTCCTTTATTTAACGTGATGTTTATTGGCACAGTTGGAAATATTTTTTAATTTCTTACTGTTGAGGTGTAATCTATACTAAAGGCTGTAGTCTTTGCTTATCAGTCATTGCTTTAAGTCTTCTCTGCATTCAATTCATTTCTCTTTGATTTATACCTGATTCTAGTATTAATTATAAGGAGGGAAATTAAGACAAAATGTTATTTGAATTGAGACTGATGCCACAATTCATAGAAATAGTTCACATATTGAATATTTGAGAATTCCATGTGCCATAGTCATTAGGCTCTAAATAAAGTAAGATTTGAATTACTTTTAAGATTCTGTTAGAAATAGATTAGAATTACTCAAGTAGCAGTTTCTGATATTTTAAGGATTTTCCGTGCAAAGTCCAGAGATGGGTCATGATAAAACGTTAATGTTATATTGAAATTTTAGTTTGATAAAAATGTTTCTCAAATTTCCCAACCTCTCCCTCTCCATCTTGTGGCATACAGTGTTCACTGAAAGGACACTATCGTCTAAAATTGTGTCGCTGTTTCAAATACTGCCACCTACTAATTCAGCTGGAGTCGTCACTGGTCACTTTTGAAAATCTCCTTGGCTATATGAATTCATCATTCTTTTCCTCCTTGGTGCATCCTGTAAGTGTTTAATCTCTATGCTCTCTTGAATCTTCATATTGGTCCCTCTTAAGCAGGCTCTACTATGATTAATAACATAATGTGGAATTTAAGCTTCAGGTACCCCCACTTACCCATGATGTGACCTTCAATTCTTAGGAATTTGATTTAATTAAATGTTTCACATTTTCATTCAAATACTTGCCATACATAATTTTGCCTGTACATTGCACAAATTTATGGAACAAAGAGCTTACCAAATCTATAAAATGGATTTCATTTTTGGCTTCTTCTGAGTTGTGAAAGACAATTATTCTGGAAGGTCCCCTGGGATCACTCACTTGGACTATTTATTTACATTATCTTTCCTTGGAAGCTATTTACTTCTTTTGGATATTTCTCTTGGAAGAGTGTTATACTGGAACTCATTCAAATTATCCAATTGAATTTTATCAACTAAGAAGAGAAGGAAAGCATTAAGTCTTTTCTCATTTCCTTATTCTTCACTGAAGAGCCAAGTCCATTAGAAAGCTCCTCTCTGAATGTAGAGTCTGACGTGTATAATTTCTGATAACAACTGAATAAAGGATGCCTTGACACTATAGGCCAAGAAAAGCTTGATATCTGATTCCTGATGAACAAAGGGAAGATTTGTAAGAGGCTTCTTCCCCTTAGAAAAGAATCCCAGCTATCGCTGGCATGCCACCATCCAAAGAACAGATCAAATCCACAAAAGCGGGTGAGGGTATGTTTCCATAATTTCATGGCATCTCCTGCTAGGATCATATGACTAACACAAGGAAGGGACTGAGTTGTAATTTCTCATATTCTGACTTCATGTAACCTTTAAAGGGTTTCATTTATTGGTTCTGTTTTCTTATGTTAAATGATGCTGTTGAACTAATAGACTTCCAAGCAGACATTCTGAGAGCTGTCATCATCCTTTATAATTTCAATTTGAACCAGTCCGCCATTGACTATTTTGCAAATTATGCATTATTCATCCTTTCTAAAAGTCTGCACACTAGTCACTAGAAAAATCTTCTCACTTAGTCTAAAGCTGATCTAGTCCACCAATACTAAACCGTTACTAGTTAAGAAACAACGGAAGGTTAGCAAGTTGAGGTTCTAGCAGTTATTTGGGCCCTCATTGTTTATTTGAAAAGCAAAAAAGAAAAAAATCTTCTTAAGAAAGTTAATTACCTCTTCCTACTATCTTCTCCAAATTTCTCCTTCATCTTGTCTATTAAAATTATTTTCTTTTCTACTTTTGGCAAAAATTGTAACAATCACTCTAGCATTCAAAAATTGATAACTACTGGGTTGCAAATAATTGAGGAATTAATTTATTTAATTTTAAAACAAACTATTTTCAAGACAGAGATTCTACTCACTGGCACAATATAAGTTGATGGGGAACTCATTATATATTTTATAAATAGAATGTGCCCATTCACGTTCTAAAATCTGCATCAGAATCTAGCTTTTGAGTTTACAATCTGCTTTAATGTGATTCATTCATGTTAAAGTTGCAATTAGAAACACTCTTTCAAGAAACGGAGTATCCCTTTGTTACTGGGTGTTTGACAAATTGAAACAATGGTGTAGTGGCATTACGTGATGTAAATGAAGGTCATGCTGAGTCTGGACTGGGGGCCACAGAGAGAAGCAGAATGGATTGATATGGAAAAAAACAACAACATTGACCTGGACATCAGGTCAATCTTTGTTTGAATTCTGCCTTAGCCAAAATTAGATGTCTGATTTTCAGTTTCAGTTTTCTTCTCAGTAAAACAGGTGTGTGTATGTGTGTGTATATGGCTCATGATAGATATTCTGTAATTGAAAAACCAGATCACCAAACTCATTGGTATCAAATCAATTCTGACTCATAGAAACTCTATTGGACAGAGCATACCTGTACCTGGGGTTTGAAGAATGTAAGATATTTATGGGAATAGAAAGCCTCACCTTTCTGTCCTGTAAATGAAAGCTACTACAAATGTCTATCCATTGAATTAGCAGATCATACAATTGAGTTTCCAATGATGTCTTCTCCTCCTTTGCCATGCCCATCTGTCTGTCCATATCTTTGTGCTCTTCTATAAGAAATGGTGCAGAGAAAATCTTTGTCTCGTGCTAGGTTTGGGTGAGAAAGTATAAATTACCTCATTAACTCTGGTTTATTTAATTTGCCACTTATACAGTAAAACAACCACATTCTACTGTGGAAGTCCAATGCTGAGTTTTTATTACATATTCCAAGAATTTATTCATTGAGAACCACATGTATTATTATCTCTAAAACTGAAGCAACAGTTTTGATAAATCATCAAGTTTAAAGTTTTCCTTTATATTTTGGGCATCTTTGTCCTCTAAAATGAATACATTGCTTTTGAAGTTACCCAGCTATTACTTACCTTAAAAGAGTAGTTGCAAAACATGGTGAAAGAAAAAAATCCTCCTCTGCATGAATTAGGAGCAGGAATATTTTTACCATCTCAGTCAGCAGACATGCTACATATTAGGGGAAAAAGAAACAATTGTATTGGAAGCAGATGTTGACACGGTGTCAGTTATTACAGGTAGAGAGGATTCCACTCGAGCCGTTATAGTTACAAAGCAGTACTGATGGCAGTTGGAAATCCTATGGTTGATCACCTTCACCAACAACAAAACAGCAGAGACCTTAGGAGACCAAGACTGCAGTCATTGAGATTGTGTACAATACTCTAAGATTTCAAGTTTCTTTTCTTTCCAGGAGAGGAAATGACGTTCATCATTCTCAAAAGCAAGGCCTTGTTTGAGCGAGAAATAAGAAAGTGCTTTCTAAAACTATTG